AAAAGATGACTAGATTCCAGAAGTCAAAAGCAGAAGATGAATCCAACATACACCAAGTAGAGTACGTGGTCACTCCTAGAACCCGCGCAAGGGGGCAGTTGAGCAGAAGTCTGATTATTCCAACCACAGACGATCAGCAGCTGCTAAGACCAGACAAACCAGTCCTGGCTGGACTGTCTACTCGGAGAAGCACTAGGCGAACTAAAGAAACTCCTGAGGCTTCTAATGTTCAAGCACAAGAAAAGGTTCAAGATGAGGAAACACCTGTGGTTCCTGTTACTCCTAGAAGAGGTAGAAAGCCTAAACAGAATAATCCAGAGAAAGCAGAAAGCAGCCGTTCTGATAGGCAAGCACTGCCCATTAGTACACAGTCTATATCTGTTACTCCAAGAAGAGGGTTAAGGAGAGGAAAGGTACCTGCATCTGAACTTTTGGAAGAGACCAGTGAGGAAACCTCTCTTGCTGAAAACAGCTTTCTTGCTTCTACTCCTAAAAGGACTAGAGGAAGAAAAACTTCAGTAGGAGATCAAGAAACTGTCCAGGTTGGCACTGATCATAAGGCAAAAACGGCAGTCAGTCCTGGTAGAAGTGGAAGAAAATTAAAAAGCATTAATTTACAGCCTACTGAAGATACTGTCACAGTTCAGGAGGTGCAGCCTAATCAGCAACTCCTCTCGCCTGTGCCAAGTAAAAGAGGTAGAAGAAGAAAGGCGAGTTCATCAGAAGTCTCAGAAAATTCTGAACTTGCTCTGTCTAAATCATCCCTTCCTCAAACAGAGCCGAAACTTCCTGTCACTCCTCGGAGAAGTGTAAGGAAAGGAGCTCAGAATCTCTCAGCGGATACAGCATCTGTCTCTACTCAGGAAGACCCACATTCAGGTGAGAAAGAACAGATTGTTCATACTCCCAGAAGATCAACAAGAGCCACGCTTGCTAAAGCAGAGAAAGCAGATAGTCTTGAGAGAACACCCACACAGTCAGGTGAGGAAGCAGCTACACCCAAGAGTGCAGCAAAGACGGGGCGTCGCGGTAGAAAGAGCCGTCTGCCGTTGATAGCAGAGGAGAGCACGGTGGAAGAAGCCTTTGCCCAAGGACCTGCTGGCAGCCCCTTGCTGCTCACGGACACGAGTAAAGCAGGGCATGAGGAAACGTCAAGAACTGTAACAGGGCGGAGCACTCGTGTTACACGAACCAGGTCCCGCAAAACTGACACGCATCAGAAACCCTCTGTAGAGGAAAACGAGTCCTTCTTTTTCTCTCCTCCTGTTACAAAGGTGGCAAGGAAATTAAAAGGTAGGTACAGTATTTGCTCATGTAAAATAGAAGATATGATAGTCTTGTCAACTAAACAAGACATGAATATGCATTTTGTACTGTAAAGAAGGTAACTGCAAAAGTGAAAATTTGGAATGAAATTCCTTTTTTTGTCTAAAGACTTTTTGACTGGCAGGCTCATTATGCTTAAAAAAAAAAAAGACAAGAGGATGAATTGTTTTGAGCAAAGTGAAATGAAATTTAATCTGAATTTTGTCATGACCTTTGTAGCTATCAAATTCAAATAGAGATTGCTAAATTGCCCTCCTTTCCATCCTTTCCACCCCACCCAGTAGAGAATTAAAGGAGACCTGCTTCCTGATTTTGTTCTGATTTTATCTTAAAATGAGCTGCATCTTTCAACAAGCTGTACAGCTCTTAGTTATGTGATTGTCTCTTGGTGGATTATGTTTTGTTGGTAAAGTTATTACATGGAGGACTTTTAATATTGGATAATATAACTAAAAATTTCAAAAGATGTGAAGGCAGTTGATGCCTCTTGGCCTTATTAATATCTTTTATTATGTACGTACAGATAGGATCTCTGTAATCCCTAATTCTTCTAATCACAGTTTGTTATAAAGTGATGGATTCCATGAGGCAGTTTCTAGGGAACTGTTCATACCTCCATATTGGGTGTCTAGGAACCTAATCTGACTCTATTTTAAGAAATATATGAAGTTCAGTGTTATCTATAACTGTAATTAGCTTCATTGTTCTTTATAATGTGCATGCACATTAACTGCACATTGTCTTTTTTAGATGAAGAAGCAGACGATCTCGTGCAACTACAGGATTTAGACCCAGGCTTGACTTCTCAATTTGTCTTTTCACCCCCTCTTCTGAGATCAAGGAGAAAAGATGTATCTAGTATTTCACGAATTGTGAAAGAAGCAGTAAGTAAAAACTGCAGGTTTTTCAAATTTCTGACTTTTGCTCTGAATCTTTTTCAAATTATGGTTTTTAATACTTTTCAATTTTCCTTGAAGATTTTTCTAAAAACAGAGTTATTAAATTAATCAATTAAGTATGTTCCTTTATGAAAACTAGCTACAAAATTCAATTATATATGTAAGCTAAGAATGATTAAATGTTCTCTTTAGCAAAGGGCCCAGTGACTGTTTAAACTTGTACAGTAAATTATTTGTTGGTTTCATAGTTTGATATTTTGGAAATAATGTTATAATTTGAGATGAAATATTTATTTTTGCAGAGAGAAATAGTAATGCTTTTAGAAGTAAACTTTTTTCCTGATTTCTTCCTGAAAGAAATATTTATTTGTGTTCTGTGGAAGTGTGAGAATTTGTGGATGCAAATCTTTTTGTTGCATTATCATAGGAGCTTCCAGCTGAGGAAGAAGAGGATACCAAATCCGTAGAATCTGTGGGAAAGCAAAAGTTGAGGAGAGGCAGACCTGCAAAAGCCAAACTGAAGAAAACAAGCAAGTATGAAATTCTCTTTAACACTTACACATTGCAAAAGGAAAGGGAAAAGAAAAAAGGAAAATTCATCCCTTTATTGTGGCAATGGTTCAGCTGGTATGATGGTTCAACTTCCTCTTCTCAATCTGGCCGTGAGGTTCACTTCTTACAAAGCACCCTAATCTGTAGATCTACTAGAATTTTTTTGCACCTTAAGAGTTAGCTTTCTAATGGAAGCAGACAAAGAGGTAGGGAATAGGAAAGGGCAGTTGGTTACTCACCTTTTCAGTGGTGATGTGCTCTTTGATTGATTTATTTCATCTTATGAAACCCCATTCTTACAGTCTTTAGCTCCTCATTTATGGAAGCAGCAGGGTAGGGATTGAATAAGGAAAAGTTCTTGTTGCTGGGTATGATTTTTCGATTTTTTTAGAAAACTACCTAACGAAGGTGCTTGCTGATTAAAGGCTTGGGGGACTGAATTTTTAGACTGCAAATTGTTGTGAATAAGCACTAAGAATAAATGAGATCATCTAGTAACTCATGAAAACATATGTGGGATTATTTGTATTGCTTTTCTACCTTGATTCCCATAAATAACATTCTAATGCATTCCTTTTTTTTTTTTTTTTTATACCACTTGTTTTTGCTGATAAATATTTCTTGTGGGTAATGAAAGCAATTGCATACTTTCTGCTTTCCTACAGAACAACAAGAAAAGAAGGCTCTTGGTCACCTCCACCAGTGGAGATTAATTTCATTTCTCCTTTTGGAACTCCAGTGGATGGAACACAGAGCAATCAGAAAGAAACCACAGATGCAGCAGAAAAGACTCTGCGAAAGAACAAAAAAAGACTGTCTAATTTTCCAAAGCCAGTCGTGCGCCGGAAGATGCTATAACTGTTTTTTAAGTTTGTAATGTACACCACTGTTTGTAAAGTCATCAAAATTGTGTGGATTAGTTTAAAAAAAAAAAAAAAGAAAAAAATCATCTAATTTGGAAGAGATAATTTATATAAATTATTGTAAAATTTCATAAACAAATGGTCTTCAATAAGTAACTCCATATGGAGTGTGATTTCCTCAGTCAATGCAGTTTTCTATTTTATATTAAGACTTCATACATTTATATAATATGTAAATACAGCTTATTTTAGGAATGTTAAATAAAAATGTATACTTCACAATATGCTTACTGTCTGATAGCTTTTTGAGGGAATAATGGGTTGAATTACCTGTATCACTCAAATTTTAATGTTGGTTTGCAAGAGTTGCTGACCCTCAAAAGTGAGGCCAAAAGCTTTTTAAAAGTTTGCTTAGAAATACTGTAATAAGTAAACATTTAAACCTGTTAGTATTTAAATTTTATAGATGATGTTTGACTTTCTGGCACAAATAATTGGGCTCACAATACAAACTGAAAATTTCTTATATTCATTTTTAAGTTGTACTGTACTGAAGTCAGAATGTAAACAATTGTATTTTAAGCTGTGCAATATTTTTTTGTATTTGTCTTAAACTTTGGGAAAGCTGCTCTTGAGTTTATAAAACTAAATCACACCTCAGATGTTTCACTTTTTTTTAATTTATCAGCAGAATTCTAACTATATAGAGGGTTGGATGCTTACAATAGCATATCATATTTAAAGGGATATTGCCCACATAATTTTGGCTCAAGTTTCAAACTATTTTCATATATTTAGATTAATACAAATGTTTCTCTAATTGAAATAATGAATTCTTGTCTGTAAACATATTTTGCGATATTTGATGCCTGCATATCTCGGTGCAAAAACCTGATGATAAAGCTAACTCAGTGTGCAGAAGGTACAGAAAATGTACAGAAATCTTAGTTACAAACCATATTTTTAATAATTATTTCATTATTAATCTTGGGTTATGGAGTAAATATCCCTATACAGTTTCAATTTGTAAAAATAAATGCAAGAGACTATTCTTTTAAAATCAAACCTGGAAGTACTATTTTGATGTGCAGTCTTTTACACTTAATGGAGTATTTTATGTATGTTAATTTATATATGGATGCAACTTTTTGAAGACTACAGAATGGTGGAACCTGACATTAAACTTTTCAATTAGTAAAAGCTGATAGAGTTACTTTAAGAAATAATTTATGGGGTAACCAATACCTTGCACATAATGAATGAATAATGTGTTAATAATGGACTAAGCTTGCAAATGATTTTGGTTTTTTCAATGGCCATGACTTTTCTATCTCAAAACTGGGAGTTCTAGAGAAGTAGTTTTGTGCACTTTATTATTTTTCTCCTTGGGACTATTCATGACTGAAGGAAAATTGTAGAAAAAGAAAATGCCAAGTGTTGACAGTGTGAAAGTGGCAGTTCGAGTGAGGCCTTTCAGTCAGGTTAGTAATTATTTGCTCTTGAGTATTTTGTATTTGAATCTTAGTAAACCATAAATATGTTCAAAGAGAAAGGAGGGAGGGATTTGCAGCCTGATTTGTAAATGCAAATTTTACAAAGATGCTGTGAATAGCTTTAAATACAAGTTAAAAGAGCAAACTTTTAGCACTGGAAAAAAAAAAAAAGTCAAACCTCATTATTTGTTCTGTGTAGTGTACTAAAGTATAAATATAGAATTGATGGATTAAATTCTAGTGAAGACTGTTTAACAGAGTTTTAATGTATATTTTATACCAGCAGTATTTTTTTGTATGAAAATCACTTGGAACAAATGAAAGCATAATATTAGCAAACTTATTAATTATTTGAAATAATTCAGCCTCTTTATTTTGTAGGCAGCTCAGCTGAATTATCCTTGGCAGTGCTGCTGGAGGAAAAAAAAACAAAAGCAATAGTAATACAAAAATATGATACTAGCCACGTAATAACTTCCTAGAAGATTGTGATGGTCCAGTAACTTTATTTTAAAGAAGTTTTAATCCAGTTATGCATTAAAAAGTTGTCTTTGGCTGCTTATTTTCAATGAGCTGTTCTTAGATACTGATCGAGTTTCCCTAGGTGTATTTTGAAAATGGGATGGGAATATAATGAAATGAATGGCAATATAATTGTTTAACATAGAGATTTCAGAATATTGAAGGACATAGAAGGAAATGGGAGCAAAAAGAGGGTTTGGTAAAATTTATGGTAGAGCTTTTAAAATAGGAAAATAAGAGTGCTAGCCAGCAGTGAAGATGGTAGCACAAGGATGGTTTTATAATGGAGAAAATTGATTTTACCTATTTTGCTCTCTATAGATTTGCTTCAGGTATCCAAAGAAAAGCATGGGAAATACCATTTTAGATTGAGAAAGTTGCAGCCCATTGACAATGCTTTTTAAAAATGAGGTGAACCGGGAAGGAAACTGCATTCTTGGAGATTAAAAGAAAAGCTCAGGAGGGGCGAGTGGCTGAATGTGTTGGGAGTCCTCATACAACACGACATTGTAGATGTTTGTAGGTGCATCAGAGAAGAAGATACTACTAATATTTGTGGTGTTAGAGAGGACCTGGGGGGCTGTGAAAGAGCACGGTGATGTATCATTATGGTGTAAGTATGAGGGACACAGAGAAGTAAATCTCGCTCTCTAGATATGTACAGGAGACCTTCTTTTGAGAGCCAAGATCAACATTTCCCAAGAATTTACCTGCTGCAGCTTATCACTTAAATAGAGAAATTGTGGGTTTTTTTTTTCTATAAGAAATTGAGTTGCCTGAGACTTTATTTATTTGTTTATTGTAAAGCAGAGCTGGGGTTTCTCTATAAAAGTTTTGAATGCCATTGACTTGATAAAGGGTGAAACTAAATGATATATCTGTGCACTTGGAGCCGAAACCCAAAGGCAATGCCAGTGGCACATCCATCTGCTTTGGGGTCATATAGCATCACCTGTGAGAAAGGGGAATAAAAAATGTGTATAATGGCAGAATTTACTTCCAGGAAATGTTAGGAGGAGATATTCATGAAGGGAAAATGAACATTACTAAGGGCTGTAGTCAAAAGCCGATTTGTCAAGACAAGTAATGTTTCAGTAAAAGTGTTTTCTCGAATTATCTGAGATAATTATCTGCAAACATTTGTAAGATATTTTTTTCTTCAAATGTTCAGAAGCCAAGAATCACAAAATCCAAATCCAAGCCCTAATTGATTAACATTGATTTTTGTCTGGTTTCTTTTATTTCCTCCATGCCCAGTGTATGGATAAGGCTGGATATAACTACATGGTTTAATCTGCTATCAAATGTCCTCATGTGAAAGACAACTGTCAAAGTGTCAAGTTAGCAAGAGCAATACGTGTTTTGCCAGAAGCGAATCTGTAGTCAGTCAAGAGGTGCTAGGCAATATTTGTAACCTGTTAGTTTAGGCCAGTCTGAAAATACTGTGAACTGGTGGAATTGCAAGTAACATGATAGTATTTGTTTCTCATTTTGTTTGTACCTTATGTCTTCTGTGCAAAACTTTCAGTGACTGAATCGAATGCTTTTTTTTTTCACCAAAGTATCAAGATAATGGGTCTTTTTGCTCTTTTCGGAGAGAAATGTACGGTGGTTCATTTTGCATTAAAGCTGTTTCTGCAATAAAATGCATTTTCCAATGTACTCTGCTATCTGGGTGGCCAATACTGGTTTTGTGAGGCAGAGGAAAAAATGCAAGGTGCAGTTCCTGAGCTCTCAGTTCGTTTGCATCACTCACTGCTTGACAGTGCATTTATCCCACGCAGTTTTGCAGTGGGCTTGTTTCACACACGGTTCATGGTATGTTCCCATTGGCTTCAGCTGAAATACCAGCTAACGTGAGTTTTTAGCATTTGATGGATTGTTATGTTTTGACACTAAAATTGTAATTTTAATGCAGAGGGAGAAGGATGCAGGAAGTAAGTGTGTGATTTCTATGAACTCCAACAGCACGAGTATATATGATCCCAGGAATCCCGAGCACGTGAAAACCTTCACTTTCGATCTGGCGTTTTGGTCTCATAGTGGCTTTCTGAAGGACAAGAACGGTGTGCTCGTTCCAGCAGGCTGCAACAGCTATGCAGGCCAGGTAAGACTTTGTGCAAAAGCTAATTAAAAGTACTGTTAGCTAATGAAAAATCACAAGCTGCTCTGTCATTAACATGCCCCTAAGTGGCATGTGATTGCATGAATCTGTTTACTGGTTTGAAACATTTCTTAGTTTCTTTACATTCCTGAGAGTTCCAGAGCGAAAGTAGTATCTCAAGTGTATTTTTAAATCTTTATTCTTCATTTAGACTTTACTGGGGACACTGGTGCTAGACAGCAGGGCGCTGGTGTGTCTATTTGCATGTGCATCTACAGAGGGTGACGTGCCTCACGTGCCGCGTGTGTGTGGTTGCTTTCAGAGAGAAGTCTTCCATGACCTCGGCGAAGGAGTGCTGGAGAGCGCCTGGCAGGGCTACAACGCCACCCTCCTGGCTTACGGCCAGACCGGCTCCGGGAAGAGCTATTCCATGATCGGGTATGGGGCCAACAGAGGCATAGTGCCGGCTGTGTGTGAAGAACTCTTCAAAGCAACCCAGAGTGGGGAAGAGAACAAGCAGTACCAGGTGGGACTATCACAAATCGCCATTTATTGCCAAGATCTCTCCAGACTGTACTTTCAAGTTGAAATTTTAAGGACTTTGTTAATTTTGAAATTTTAAATTGGCGAAACCAGAAATTTTGACCTTTCAAAGCGATGACTGCACAAACTATAGTGTATTCTACAAAGAAAATAGTGTTTCATAAAAAGCTGAAGTAATACAGCTAGATTTACAGATTAAAGTAAGAATTTCCATCTGTTGCAGTGTAATTGATCCTTCACATAAGTACTAAAATTTTTTTTACTAATTTATTTTAACAATAAATACATAAACATTAGTCTTTAGAGCTGCCTGCAGTAAGCTGAGTTGATCTGTTAACTGAATTAGGCTTCCTAACCTCACTCTTTCACAGAGTGTTTATGAAAAAATCTTTCCAACTCTTGGGTAAATTTTTTTTTTCTTTACTCCTCCACAAGGGTTTCAGATTGCTATACGTTGTAAATGCCATAGAAGTGCAAATAGGAAGAATGTTTTGAGCTTTGCAGAAAAGTCTCTGTATTTGCTGGCTGCTCCCACTTCATCAGCCTCTGTCCATCCTTGTAGTCCAGGTAACTTAAGTACAAGTAGCAGAAGCACTTCATGGATCTGAGAATCACTGCAAGTGCTGGGCTTCACTCAGCGTGTACAGAAGTGTCTTCTGTCTGCAGGGATATTAACCTGATTACTGAATACAGCTTGTCATTTATCCTGGTGCTTTTTGCTTCCGTTAAGGAAGAGCAGTTTTCCCAGACTGGTTAAACAAATCCCCATATCCGCAGAAATGGCATAGGGGAGACATTTGTGAATGAGCTTCTGTTCTTCTATCATGTCATGCAGTTGTCCACCATATTCTTATGTGATTTAAAAAAAAAAAAAAAAAAAAAAAGTGAAAATTAATGAGGTTCAATTAATATTATATATATTAGTTTGCTTGGACAGAGGGGGAAGATGTGTGTCTATGCAAATGGTACCCCCACCATCAGGGCACTGCCTTGCAGGGCACCCACAGGAGCAATGCCAGCAATCCCAGCAATGTAAGCAGGGACAGCCCGAGCTCTTCCTCCTCTCCAGCTTGTTGGAGTTGCAGTACATCAGTGCAGACGCAGGTGCTGCTCTCTGCAGCTTTGCACGTGCACCCACATTTGTGGAGCCCTTGAGTAGCAGCATGGTCTGTAAGTCTCTCTTCATGCCCTGATCCTGGACCTCCTCACCTGGTCTGTGGTGGTCTCCTCCTTGCCAGCTTGTCCAGCTTAATGCTCGCTACAGACAGGCACACGTGTGGATCCCTCAGGTATCAGCTGCCGTCCGCCTCTGGGAGGTCATGGGGCTCCCACACCTCAAGTCTTTCTAGCAACAGCTTTCCCTCCTCCTTACTGGCTTGTCCATATTCAAGCTTGTCCATATTCAATAAGTTTCCCCCTTGACTATGCGTAACGCTCATATTTGTCACATTCCTCCTCCTGATTGAAGCCTGGGTCAAGCCCAGCAAAGCCATGAATGCAGTTTGTTAATGGCCCCTCATGGCCCCTCATTTAGTGGCTAGAGGGTTTTTATCTTTATTATTGGCTAATTATAGTCTACAAAGTTGTCAACTATGTGCCCCTGGGCATTTTGTTTATAGATTTCCCTCTTGCTTATTATTCCCTTTCAACTGGCAAGTTCTGTTATATCACAACCTTAGTGACCAGATGCTCTCAAATCCACACACCCTTACAGAGGTAGTATACACATGCAGCTGTTCATTCAAAAAGTGGCATTGGAAACACTGGCTCTTTCTGTATTAAAATCACCTAGAAATAAACACTGACTGGGCCACTCTGCTAATTAATGGTGCTGTCAGAAATTAATATTTGCAGCTCCTAAGTTTCCTACAATGTTCTTTAGATGTCTATTAATTTTAACTATTTTGATGCAAATAAAATTATTTTTTTAAATGCAGCTTGTGATTAGACTGCATAGGCAATGATGGGATATCATATATATGAGTAGTGACTCGGAAGGGAAATAGGATTTTGCTGAAATGGTTTGGGTCTAGTAAGTAATTGCTTGAATTCAATTTGTTTTGTGATGTAGGATGAAAGAATGCTTTGATCTGTGTGATATCTGTTATTTTTTAGAATGGATTGGCATTCCATCAAAATGATTTTTTTTTTCAAATACATTTATAGTTATTTTTTGTCTTTACAGATCACTTTCAGTATGCTGGAAATTTATAATGAGCAGGTAATGGTCTTAACTTTATTTCAGTATTACCAAGTTTTAATGTTTTCTCATATGTTTATTTCTTCTTATGCAAGACCCTGTTGCACTTGCACATGTGGGGGCCTGCATCCCAAGGGTATTTCCCCTCCTAGATGTGGAAACCACGTGCAGCTACAACACTTACAGTGTTTCCATCCTTTCTCTCTCTCTCCCATTTTCAAAATATCAACTTCAGAGCAGGTAAAGCAGCTGTCTCACAGTACAATTTCCTCACTTGTTGCTTGCTACTTGCAGATCCTTTGCCGTAATGGGATGAACAGTCTTTACATTCCCTTAAAATTACTCTTCTTGGCAGATTATCTGAAATGGGACTGAGTTGAAGGTATTTGGATCTTCAGCAGTTTTTTACTGATTGATCTAAATGACAGCCTGGTGCCAAAAGTCTGTTTGAGTTCATAAATTTTGTCATTATTGAATTTCTAGAGTGGGATCAGAGAGCTAAATTTGGAAGACCTTGGGCCAGAACTAGGCTCCTGAAATAGCGTTGTTTTTGCATGAACACAAAGAGCTCATGTTTACCTGTACAGCTGATAAATAATGCACATGGGCTAGGAAAGGTCAAGAGGGACCTATGTAAGAGGAAACCTGGCAGGTTGGATGGGAGGGCTCTTCCTTCTCCTCCTCCTCCATATTGCCGTCATATCTTTGTAGGCTTAGCCTGTCGCCTGAGCTCTTTCATCCCGGGCTCTTTCATCCCATTCTTCCCAGTATTATACTTCCTCACTTGTATAGCGAGGATGTATAAGTAGTATATGTAGGAGTGTATAGGTAGGAGTAATGAGTTTTCATTACTTTTACTTGCACTTCTTGTTTTTCGTTTGTTTGTTTCTTGTGTTGGTAGACACAAGACATACTGCTAATTGAAAATGGCTAATTTCTCTCTCCTAGGTTGAGAGTGGGGGGTTGAAGACGGTATATGCTTTACAGGACTGTTTTTTTTTCTTTTTTTCTCTCCAAATATTTATACATTTTTGTTGTTTACTTAAGAGCTGCATTCCCCATGCCTTCCTCCTTGTTACTTTTAAGCCATGTGGCCAGTTTCAGTCACATTTGCTGAAAAATAAATGACAGAAGGCAGTACTCTTCTATTATTTATAGATAATTGCTATTGGAAAGGTGTAGTAGATTAAACGTTCAAGTGCATGTGCTTTTACAGCAATAACAGAAGCAGCAGGAAATAATGCTTTTATGCTGAATTTTGCAAATGTCTTGAGTTTATAGATGTGGGCTTTTAACGTAGATTAAATACACCTGGAAAATGGAACTGTGTGGGAATAAGAATGTCTAAAGAGGGTAGCCAGAACAACTATGCTGTGCCATAGTCTATTTTACTTTTTTTTTTTCTCCCCAGGTATATTTTACTTACTTTAGTAGAGGACTTTGACTATAAATCTCTCTCTGTAGGTAATAGACTTACTCGCTAAAACAAGGAAGCCTGGTGGGCTCAAGATTAGAGAAGACCAGCAGCAAGGTTTCTACGTTGATGGTCTGAAGCTGGTGCCTTGTGATAGTTATGCACAAATTGAGAGATTAATGGAACAAGGGAACAAGATGAGAACAACAGCTACAACCACCATGAATGCTACCAGCAGCCGATCTCACATGGTCATCACAGTCCAGTTCAAACAGGTGTAGTAGGGAGGCACTGTTTCTACTATTCAGTGTAATTGTTCAGTAGTCTTAATTAATTGGAGTTTGTTGAAGTTTACACAGACACAAAGTTTGTGGTCGGACCATTTTACTGAGGGTGGGAGGTATCATAACCAGCACCATTTAGTTCTGCCTCTGGTAAAGCCAACACAAGTGGGAACATGCCAGTTCCTCATCCTGTCAGCCGAAATGATTCACGTGCTGTTCAAGAGCAGCTTGACTCTGGGCGAAAAATCTCAAAAATATCATTTTCTATTTCTTAATTAATATCAGAACCATTGACTTGATAATCTTCCCTTATGTTGATATCACATTTTGCAGATTTTTCTAGATGAAGCAATCACGAAACAATCCATTATAAATCTGGTGGACTTGGCGGGAAGTGAAAGGCAAAAATCCGCAGGACCTGAAAAAGACAGACTGAAGGAAGGCACCCGTGTAAATCTAAGCTTAACCACGTTAGGAAATGTCATCAGGTATTTTTAAAAATCTGTAAAGTAAAAAGCAGAATTTATGTGAATAAAATCAACAAAAACAACAAGAAACAACAACAAAAATATTCCTTTCTACAGCTTCTTAGCTTGATACTATTTGGACTGCTTGTTCTTTTTTCAAAGTATCTCTAGGTTGGGCCGCTTTACAGTGTTGTTGCTCAGTATACCTGACAAATCCAGGCCTTTCTGATCTGGACCCAAGCCATTCCAAACAAGCTTTGCAGTTTTTAAAATCTTGACAGTAAATCTCTTTGACAGTAGATTTCTTGGTTCTTGGATGTGTAAACTGAGGCAATCAATTAGGTAGTGGACAGTGAACATATGATTTCTTTCTAACTCTTTAAAAATTTGTTGCTGATGATTATACTTGCATTGCTTACCTCTTTTCACTAATCCTTTTTTTTTTCCCTGTAGTGCTTTGGCTGAGGTAGCTACTGGGAAAAAGGTATTGCATATCCCATACAGAGACTCGGTTCTGACGAAACTCCTACAATCTGCTCTGGGCGGAAACAGCAGGACTATCATGGTAAATTGATTCTTTGAATTATTACCCAATGTAGGTGTTTAAATAGAATTGCGTGGGTCTAACATCAGTGAAAATAAATGCAGTTTAAAAGTTAAGATGGTTTTCTGTGTAGCATAAAAGTGGGAACTTTTCTGCTGGTTAAAATAGACTGCCCAGAGCTCTTTAACAGTGAAACATGGACAGCTCAGAAGGCTGCTCTGCTGCTATTATTTTGTGGAAAGTTTCTTCTCAAATATAATTATACAAACAAATACACTACTCAAAAAGCAAGTGCTGCTTTTTTTTTTTTTTTTTTTTTTTTTTTTTTTTTGTTTTTTGAGGCGGGGGAGTGAGAGTGGGGGTAGGGAATAGGAATGCATCTGGCACAAAATATTTCTATGCTCTAGAGAGATATAAAATCATAAAAATCTTTTCTTTGTCCCGGCTGGATTAGCTATAAACACCAGCATCTTTCAAGAGGCATTTTTTTTCAAGAAAATGGCATTAAATGAAAAGTGGAAAAACATGAAAATGTGCCTATGTGACAATGTTGACGTTAAATGTTAACAGACTTAAAACAGCTTACCTGGGTTTCTTCAAATGCCAACTCTCTTAGTTCATCAATGCCACTTTGAACTAATTTAAAGACAAATTCTGCAGCTGCTACTTGCACAAACACCATCATACTTTTTTTGAGAGGTTTTTCTGGAGTTGTTTGCTAAGATAAGCCATTTACTAGGGTTCTAGCCTTTTTGAATCTTAATTTTTGAACAAACCATCTGCATCCTTTTATCTTTCTCACTTCTTGCAAAAATGTTTAAAAGAATTAGTTTATATATATCTAGGTTGTCTAGAACGTTAGGGTTATTCTTTCATGTTTAAAGACTTAGCAGTATGTTTTTCCATGCTGATCCATTTTTTATAAAACTCAAAATCTGGTGTCAGTTAACACTTCTTGTATGTTTACAGATTGCAGCCGTAAGTCCAGCAGACATCTGTTATGAAGAGACTTTGTCAACCTTAAGATATGCTGAGAGGTATATACTTTTATAATTTTTCCTCTCTGGTATTCATGCTACTTGCAATCAGATGCTGGTCAAATTAACTAAAGGCATCAACACTAAATGATTAACAGCTCAAATGAAGGAGTGTGTAAATAGGCAAACTAGCACAGTAAGAGCTTATTCTTTATTGTTATTTATCAATGGCACATCTTTTTAGAAATAGATTTTATGACAAGGGTAGCTCTTTCCTTACAGTTAAGGTCCTTATATGTCTGTATATCCCTATGCCAGGTCCAGTTTAAAAGAAGACAGGCAATTAAATGACCATTAGCCAGATGTAGATCGCAGCTCGGTGAGGTTGTGATCACAGCAGGCTGGGGTTAACAGGAACACAAAGGCAGCAGTGACAATTTGGTGTTTCCAGCATCACTTTGGTTCTGGAAACAGCTGAACAGCTTTTACGCACTAGTGTAACTTGGATTAATAAACTCTACAAACCTAAGTCAGCCCCACGCAGAGGCATCTTGAATTGTCTCTGCAGTGCGTTTCTCAGCATATTGGGGTTATGCATGTTCTTGGACAGGGAAGGTCCATTTTTAAGCATCAGCCCACACCAGAAGTGCAAGAACTGTGCCTATGTTGCTTTTAATTCAGGGTTTGCTGGAGAAGAGATGGATTTGCTTGGAATGGCAGGACCCAAAGCAAATTAGGCTGTGCTTCCTGTTAGCTATGCAAGAGAAGACATAAAATGCTTTCAGCTTAAGAACGAAGTGGCAGCAATTTTTTTTTTTGTAAAGTTTCAGAGCTCCATCAAATATTTCCGAACAGGAAAAAGATTTAAAGAAGAAAAAAAAAAAATCACATTCAGCAGGAAATCTTGTCCTGTGCAGGTGTTGTCTGTGTGAAAGAGTTTTTTGTTTGATTGTTTGTTTTGTATATTTTCACGTTTAAAAGGGCAAAAAAGATCAGGAACAAAGCCGTGGTAAATTCAAGTCCCACTGAGAAGCTTATACAAGAACTGAAGGCTGAAAATAACAAGCTATTGGGCAGACTGGCTGGGCTCAGAAGCACAGGCACATTAGTAGATGATGAAACACGTACGTATTTCCACATAAATGTAACTAACAAACAGATCTTGAGTTCCCCAAAGCATTATCAGGAGGCCTTTGGAAGCATGGAAGAAATGCAGCTAAACCGTGTTCACAAGTGATTTTTTTTAATATATAAAATGGATACAAGAGAATATTTTGGAAAATCTCTGAAATAAGCCTCCTGGTTATCCCTACTGTGTTTGGCAGCATGCATTTGCACATAAAATTTCCATTTACATTTCAGTGCCCTTATGCTGATGGATTTGGGGGAAAAAACATCCAAATAAATGACAAGAAGTTCAGTAGTACTAAATAGTGCAATGACTTCAAGGGATTTCTGATGAGACTAGAGTTCTGTCACCTCATGGCAAGACAAAAGGATGTCAAATACTTCTTTAACTAAACATCTTGGTATTTTCATTTTTACCTTTCTATTTTTAATTAGTGAACTACTCTTTGGCAATATATGATCGCCCTGTGCCACGTGCTCTAGGTGACCCTGCGTGAGCAGGGGGGTTGGACTCGATGACCTCTGAGGTCCCTTCCAACCTTTGGCATTCTATGATTCTATGACGGAAGGCACAATGTACTGGCTATCAGTAGGATCACATCTTTTCCTTCTGGAGGTTTACACATGCCCCAGGTGTCCCTGCTGGAGCAGAGGGGTTGGACTGGATGATCTCTAGAGGTTGACTTCCAACCTCAACCATTCTGTGATTCTTTGTGATTCTGTGATTACTATAGCACCTATTAGCAGAGACCATCAAGGAGTCTTGCCAGACACCAACCCTAGTGTGCCAGTTCCAAGTGTTTCAAAATCACACGTTCTTGTGGGTGTAGAGCAGTGGAGACCTACGTTCATCCTGCTCAGTCTGATAAATGTGCAAGACCCACGGGCGATTGAGCCACACCACCCTCACCTGTGTTAGGGCTCCATGTGCTCCTGCTATGAGACAGGTGAGAACCAAGAAAACTGGGGACCTTGTCCCTGAGGAGCAGATATTCTTGCCTTACTGACGAGCTCCCTGCCAGCTGGCTCGCACACTGCTTATATAGTGAGCCTCACAGTGCTGCCGTGTTCCTGCCTGTAGATACAGAAGAGGCACTTTAGATGGTCTGTGGTCTGGGTTTTTTGAAAGTTGTTCAGACATTATCAAAACATATATATTTAAAAACAAACAAAAAAAAAACTTTGTTTTAAAAAAGCTAACTTTGCTTTTGAGTATGAGTCCCTATCCCAGCAGCATGAGTGTGGGCACATCCGGTTGCACAAGGTTGCCCTTTATCATAATGGGTGGTTGGTTTGCTCAAATCAAGAATCCCCCAAAAAATCCCTGCAGGCAGAAAAAAAGTGAGTAAAATTTCATCTTTAAAAGTAAGGAGTATTACAGAAAGACAAGAGTGGACAAGCATCAGAGCTGAAGGAAGAGATGGGGGCATTAGCAATTAGCAGTTGGCAGATTGCAAACTCCTTTAAATAGAATTCACCTGAGCAGGTTCCTGAGCACGCTCTGGGACAGGGTATTTTACAGTGGTTGTGGTTAGGGGGAGATGAGAAGATGGCAGCTCTCATTATTATGTCTGGCTGGTGGTGACAGCAACAAATATGTCACCTCTTCAGTGGTGAGGGTGACTAACGCGAGAGGCCAGGGTGTCTGCCAGCACGCAGTCCCACTCGCTGGCAGCTCCTGTTTCTTAGGGAGGGTTTGCTGGTTTTCCTGTATATTCCTTGGCTAAAGGCCTCTCTGTGTGCAGAAGAGCTGCGGTGTTTGGTGGCTGGCAACGAGCAGCGGCTCCGGAGCGCGCAGGACACGTGGGAGGCGCGGCTGGAGGCGGCGCGGGGCGAGTGGCAGCAGCAGCGCGCGGCCCTGGCGCAGGTGAGGCCTGGGCTGCTGCCCGCGCAGCGCCTCGGCACGCGGACGGGGACGGAGCCCTTCCCGTGGCCTCCCGGACTCCCGGCGGGCACCCTGTCCTGCTGCCAGTGCCACAGCACAGCCCCGGGACTCTTCACCTACGGCCATAGCAGCAACTCTGTGTGCAATTACACTAAGCAGCTGCAGTATCATTTCAGACATCTCGTGAGTTTCTGTAAGAGAATCTTCTCTCTGCTCTTACCATCAAAGTACATTACGGTTTCTTGTTTTTTTCCTTGGGCTTTTAGCATTTCCAAACCAAGATGAGAACCAACGATGTTCACTTTTAAATCAGTCATGAGATAAATATCCTGAGACTGTGGCACCGTTTTGTAAAGTAATATCGCTTTTAATTTTAAAGGTGTTGTCAAAATCAATGGTAATAGAAATTAATTAGCCACTCTTAAGTATTTCAGCAGGATGATATATGTAAGTGCCGTGAGGTGAATGTTGGGAAGAAAGAGCACCTCATGGTGGCTTGATTAATAATCCACACAGTACACACATTCATAATAATAATAATAGTACAGCACACATGTTTGCTGAAAGGCCCTATGCCGCCCTTCTTCCTGTAGCTCTTCAAGAATCACTTCTACTGCATTGGAAATTGGGTAAATGCATTGCACTGCATTGCACATGGGTAAATGCCAAAGGATTAACAGACAAGGATATGTCAAGTTAGCAGCCATCGCATTTGTCTTGTGCTAAGAGTGGACTTGCATATTCAAAAGCATTTACCTCTGTGCATAGGCAGCTTGAAAAAATAAAGCTGCCCAAGGAAGAGCTCCCCGTGCCCTGCGCTGCTGTTCCTGCACGCTGTCCTGTGCGGTGTGAGCGAGGTCTCCGAGCGCGCGCGCAGCGCCTCCGTCTCTGCCATCCCGGTTCTGACAAAGCTGCCGACTTTCGCTACTGCACAAACAATGAACTAGGGCTGTGTATGCAGGTCATTTTGCAGAAAGCAAAGGTCTGGGGGTAATTCCAGAATAATTATTTTGTTTTGGTTTCATATTTTGTTGCATAGAGTGAAACTGAGCCTAGCCCACAAAGCCTGCATGACTTAATGAGCTTCACATGCAAAATTGAACACTTGTATTTTGTTAATCTCACTAAATGTGAAGCAGAGGGCTAACACTGTCCAGGCTGTGTGAGCTGTAACTGTGGCCACAACCTTAAACCAAGTTTTTTTTTCACTCCTTTTCTCTCTCTTTAACTTCATGGTCAGAGTTCCTGTGCACTTCTAATAAACCAGAACGTGTTTCAGGAATTGGGGGCTGCATGCAGGTATCAAAACGCAATCTCTTGTTGAGAGTTTAGCATTTGGACTTTTTGGGGGAATGTTCACTTACAAACTGCTTTGTGGTGATTATTTTCCCTATATGAAGAAAAAAAGAAAAAAAGAAACAGACCTCTATGTATATTATTAGCTGTCACTTCAGGCTTTCAAATGTATCCTGCTAAAATAACTTATTTCTGAATTCCTGCTCAGGAGAGACAGATGATGGAGACATTCCCTTATCTCTTGAATATCAATGAAGACCCCCAGCTTTCATGGGTTCTCAAGTACTTCATTCAGGATGGTAATTGGTTTTTTTTTTAAGTTTATAAAATCCAGAATACAGCATATGAATACTGCTTTCTGTGTCTTAACATTGTCATAACAGGAATGCTATATTACTACATTGCTCAGACATTTGAGTGATTATCTTCTTCCTTTCCTTAAGTTCTTACCCATTTTTCCTCCCCATAAAATTGTGTTCCTTTTGTTTGAGAACAGAACGATTTGGAGAATTATATTTTGAGAAGTATTTCTACTGCAAAAGATGTTTAGAGACAATAGGAAACTGAGAAATAAGAAATAACCAGGTCTACTAGATGCCACAGTGACTTCTTTTGCAGAAAACTAGTGATTTGGCAACATGGACTTTATTTTGCAAACTGATAGATAACTGAAATGGGATCAGATATTTGTAGATCTGATACTTTGTACATGGGAGACTTGCTTTGGATTTTTTTTCCCTGCCATCTATTTGACAGTAATGGACTGCATGGATTTCCTGGGGCTCCTGCGTGCCTCCGTAACTGTGTGCAGGAGCAGTGGTTGCATAAAGCAATTGCATAAAGCAAACCCTTTACGTGCAGCAGGATGCAGTGCTTCATCTCTAAAGATACAGTAATTTAGTAAACTGTCATTTTATAATTGTAACACTAATATGAAAGGTCAGTGATTGAGCAAAGGTCTTCAAATTGCTGCAAAGGAGAAAAGGTGAAAGTGAAAGCAGTACCTTTAACCATTACCCAACTGTGATTTAAAGCACATGTGATCTATACTGCATTCTTCATTCTTTTCTAGGTTCTTGTGATGTTGGTCAATCTACCTCAAATGCAATAATCCTAAGAGGTTTTGGGTAAGTATATTAAATTAAGGAAAACCGGATGCCTATGTTTTTGATTCTCTATTTTGTGTGTTTTTTTTAGTTCAAGGAATTTTACTACACTGCCTAAGCATGAGTTATGATTACTTTGAACTTTTTATGATGGCTGGTGAGGGACAAACTAAAAAAGATAATTGATGAATCTCAAATGGCAAGCTAAATGGCAATCTATATTTATTGTTTTCCAAATTCTGATACAATTTTCCATGATGATGGAATTTATAAATTCCATCACTAATTATAAATTATATTTACATGATATTACATATTATATATATATTATAAATTAAATTAATAAAAGTAAATCAGAAGAAAATGTCTATCTTTCAGCATTTTGGACAAACATGCTACCTTTACAAATACTGATGGTGAAGTTACGTTGACGCCAGGCCACAAGTGCAAAGCTACTGTGAACGGGGTGCCCATCACCGGGAAGACAAAGCTGCAGCACTTGGTGAGTGTTTGGCCAGGGAGCACTTGGGACATAAAACCTAAGCCAGAAAAGCAAAAAATCAGAACACACAAAAACCCTGAGGATAAAAAACAAATCAGAATGATTTGTTCATTTGTTTCTGCTCACCATGTCCTGAAGCAGGATCCCACCTGCCAGAAAGGTAAATTTCCTATAAAAATTCTGCAACTTTCAAGAAACGGTGTGGTTTGGTAGAGGGCATATGCACACAGCCTTAGCCTTAGAAGGGCAGCTGTCATGTTGAACGCAGGATCTCAGGGAAAACACAGATAATTGGGCATGGAATAAGGATGTCCTGTCAGAGCAGGGATGAGGTTTGGATACCCAGGCAGCCCCAGGCAGGGCCTGGGCAGGAGAGAGGCAGCAAAAGGGTGTGTGAGGTAGGGGCAGGGCCAGGGTCCAGGCAGGGTCCCATCCCAAAGGGGGCTGTCTTGGTTAAAATGGGAGGCCAACTTGGTTAGAAACACACAGGCAACTTTCAAGATATTGCTCAGCCTCAGAATGATTTCTAATAAGGATGTGAAAAAACTCTGGGCCTCCCCCACAGGAGTGTTAAGTAATTGATTCTGTTTTTATCTAGTCAGCCCAAGATGAGTCTGTGTTACTGTGAATGTGGCAGACCACAATTAAAGGGCATCCAATGAACCTTACCAGGGTCCGTGTTCATCTCTAACAGAAGGGAGAGTTTGTCAGCCTTTCTTGCCAGGGGACATTGTAGAGACACTAAGTTACTGCTTTGCTTTGTTCAAGGAGATGGTATCAATTCTATCATGGAGGAGAAATCTATTAAGGGCAGTTGAGGATAAAGTTAGAGCTTCCTATTCATTTAATACAGGTCTCTGAACAGCGGAAAAGCTTTCTAGAAACAGAGAAGCTCTGTAGGTTGTCTGGTACAAGTACTCCTTGGTGGGAATCTGTCCCTCAGGATCAGTGTCGTGGGGGATATTGGGATAGATGGATCACTACTCTGGCTCAGGAGATCTGCCTTTAAATTCTTGTATTTAACAAATTTTTCATCTTGGGAAGTGGTGCAAATCTGATGGTAGTGACCTGCATCACTTAACTTTGGTTGTCATGTTAATGGCAGCAGTGGTTTTAATTCTTTCAGCTGTAGCTGCTCTGTGGTGAGGTTTTGTTATCCCAGGCTGCCTCCTTCCTTGCCCACGGGAGCACACAGCTCCTCTCCATCTCTCCAGCTCACTCCATAACCACTTCTCCTTGCAATTTTACCCACTCCGAAAGAGTGTTCCAGTAATTCACTGTTCTCTGACACTTGACATGTCACCGGCATGAGTTTAATCTTTTGTTTAACCCTTCAGGATCGTGTTATTTTGGGATCAAGCAGTGCTTTCCTGTACATTGGGCCGCCTGCAGAACGCACAGACGAGGACCTGAGCAGATACGATTACGACTTCTTTCAGTCAGAGCTGGCAGCAGCGGGAGGCTTTAGCCTAGATAAACTCGGTAAGAGTTTGCGTTTGCTTGTTGGGTAACAGGCTTCAGCAGGGGCTGATGTTTCACCACGCCATGGACCACTTGTGGGCGACCTCACAAGCCAGGTTTTTCCTTTGGGATTAGCACGTTGTTCTTGCAGTGAGCTGCTCGCCTTACGAGCAAGCAGCTGTGCATCCCAGCAAACTGCATTTTGCCAACCTAATGCCTACTATAGAAAGAGGTAATGGGTTTCAGTCTGGAGAATTTATTTAATGTGTTCATGCATTGCTTCATGAAAACAGTGTTTTTTTCTCAAAGTGGGTACTTATATATGGTTATTTCTAGTGTTATGTTCACAAAGTAAACTGGATGTCTCAGAGTGAGCTGATTAGCAGCCGAGATTCTGGAAAATCGGTTTGGGTTTTATTTCAAGTAGACCAAATTCTTGTAAGTTTTCATTTAGTTTTCCTTTAATATGAGAATTGCTTTTTTTTTTTTTTTTTTAATAAAGAGAGCCGTGATTATGAGCCACGTTTGAGAAATGCCATCAGATGACTTTTAATAATGCATGAGCGCTGCTCCTGATGACCCCGATGACATGGTCACATGAGATTGTGCCTGAGCAGGACAGCTGGGTGGCACGGGGTGCCACGGCCTGCAAGTTTCATTGCCTGAACACTGTTTCCCAGAGAAGTCTCTGGAGAGAGGGCAGAATCATCAGGTGCACTCACATATTCCTTGCCCTCATTTCATAGTCCCTACAGCAGCTATCAATAGGGATTTTGCTAATGCTATCATATGAGCTAATCGTGGTACACAATATGATAATGCATATTTTTTTCCTGTCATCCAAAATATTCTCCTTGCTCTCTTAAAATTTGCTGCTCTTTTTCTTCCCCCTTTTTTTTTAGCCTGCTTATATTTTTTCATTGCACTTTGTGGAAGTGCTCCAGTGCACCCCTTTAAAACTAGGGTTTTGTAATTCACTTTTGTACATCTGTTTTAACCAGTTCAGAGAATGAAATGCTTGGGGAATGAAACACAGTCCAAAGGTTTTGAGCATTTTTGCTGAAAGTCTTCTGCATTCGGATGGTTATCATTTTTGGAGAGTTTGGGTCTGTGGATGTTGCTTTTTTAATCATGCACTAATCTGCCGGGAGGTCTTTGCTCTTGCATTTCATGTTTCAAATTGCTCCATGTCTATAGAAACGTGTTGTAATTATGCACCACTGGAGAGCTATTGGCTTAATCACATCCCTGACTTCAGGCATTTGAATGAGGTGCATTTGGGCACCTGTGGTTGGAGGCTTTGCATCCTCATCACAGCTCCTGGGCTGGATGAGGACATGCAGGACGCAGGTGGTCCTCCAAGGGCTTAGCTTAGATGCCTAAAGCTCCGTAACACTGGTATCACTCCTGCCATGGGGGATGCAACGAGCACTGTTATGGAACGAGCTGTCACGATATCCCAGCACACATTCTCCAATTTTCAGAAAAAAAGTGCAAACATATGTAAACGCGCCCTTTCCCACAGGTGCTGCGGGCAGCAAGGAGAGCAGAGCAGATCCCAGTATCCTCGCCGTGTTCCATGACTACATCAAGCTCCTGCCGCTGGTAGCTGAAGTAAATCAGATGAGCGAGGAGCTGAAGAAGGTACAAAATGTTTCGCCCCCAACTTCTGCAGGTTGAACTTGGCTAGGGAGTGTCTGCCCTGTGACACATTCCCCAACTTTTTTCATGCCGTGCTCATCCCAAAAGTCCAGACAGCCCTGTTTTCATCATTAAGTAACATAGCAGGAAAGGCCCAGAGCTGCCAACCATGCTGATATTTCTTCATGTAAAACAATTCATGGATCTATAAGTTCTGTTGTCTTCTCTGATGGTTTCTACCCCCTAATTAAATGGAGAAGCGATTTTCTTCCGTGTGAATGCCAGCAGCAAGGAGGGGGTGCACATCTGTACAGAAAACAGTGGATGAGGAGCATGGATGATGGGTAAAGATTCAACCTGCCGACTTCCTTGCAAAGAAAATATAGGCCCAGTGGTCTATATTGGGCAGAACAGTGTTGTATTAATGTAAGAACACGGTTAATAGGAGAACAGTAGCTTTCTGAAAGAACATTGGAGACATGGTGCTGTCTTTTAGACTAAAGACTTTGGGACTATTCGTCTGATCTCTTTGTATGCTAAATAATAACTGGAGGTCCCAACCTCTCAGAGAACCACATCACTACAGTGCTGGTTAGGGAAGTTGAAGAAGCCTCATTCTAGGTGTAATTTCAAATACTGGGAATGTCAATGTCATTCTAGATGTTACAGAAAGATTATTATGCATATTTCTTCTGTAAACAGTGTCATGTACAACTGAAATGATCCCTTTAAAATTGAAATTTCTCTATTTATGCAGCAAAATGTATCTTGTCAGTTAATGTTCTTGAAATCATTTTGACTTAATAGGACCTCATGTTTGAACTGAAGGTGAAAAATCTAGCTCTGTCAGACTCCAGAGGATACGACCTGCAGAAGGAAGTAGTAGTAAGAGTGACACACGTAACTACTCATCAGGTAAGAAGGCAGAACCTGAATTGGCTTGCAGTAAACTCATGCAGGAGAGTTTGATATCAAATACTCCTTAGGACGTGTCTAAGCGCAGGGAAGGACAGTCAGAGAACCTCAACACCAATGTTCCCTTTTTGGCTGAAATTTATCGATGGTTCCTTGGAACCTATAGCCCCAGATCAGTTTCATCAGTGCTAAAAACCTCTGTCATTGAAACCTCCTTCAGTTGCAGCTATCACGGGCTGCCCAGCAGCAAAGCCTCATTGTTTAAATAATGGAGTGAACCTCATTTCTTCCTTTCAATAGGAGTTTTTTTCAGCTACTGATTTGTTACCAATTTATTTCACATCTTTCAGAGAACCACTGTTAGATAAAGAAATGCAACTTGATATTTTCACATGGACTCAAATAGTTGTGGTTCAGACACGCTATATATTGTAACTGTAAATTGGTAGTTTACAGGAATGTTATCCTCATTTTGGTTTAGTCTATTTGCCACAAGTGATGTCCATTGGTCTTTCAAACCGTCATGGTTGCAACATGCAAAGCAATTTTTGTTAAAAGTTTCTATTGTTCAAGTCCTGGCACGTTTATTGCCTTGATAATAGCAAAGCTTCTATTGTGTGCTGTTTAAAAATAAGGAAACCAGAAATGAAAGAGGGAGCCCTAAGAAGTAAACCAAATGATTGATATAGATTTTTTCGATGGTATTTTCTGTTCTATTGGATGTAAGAATGAATTATATGGAAGCAGTAAGAAAAGATCTGGGAGGGAAAGAGATTTTCTCTTCTGAATGTAGATGAAATTAATTAACAAGCCATCCTGGACTGGGAGAAAGTGAGCATGAAAGGTAGTTAGCTGTGTTTTAATAAATCCTTAAAATCTCCATTCCAACAGATAAATAATATTGCATTGGAGCACAGACTTAAGTCCCCCACTTCTTTATTGTAATTGAATGCTCCAAACACTGATCTGTAAAGTCAAACTTCTCATTCCTCTCCTCTTGGTGTTTGTATAAGCTTTAAGATAGCTTGGTCAGAAGAACAATTTATTGTATGTTCTAAATAGGAAGTTCTAAGAGCTGCAAGTTACTTCAGTCAGTAGGAGAGGCTGAAGGAGCTGGGTTTTGTTTCTTCAGAACAGAAGGGAGGTGACCAAATCCTCCTGGGGAGGAGGAACTGGGAAGTAGCTGGGTTTTGTTTGCTCAGAACAAGAGAGGTGACCACATTCTCCTGCGCGTTGAAGGCCATGGCCAAGAGGAGAATGCTCAGTGTAATGACCAGAAGTAGCAGTCCTGGTGTGGCAGGGAGGAGGTTAGGTGTCGGGAGCGGCTGTTCCGCGGCACAAACTGACCCTTTCACCACTTGTGTGCCCCCGCAGGTGTGGGTCTGGTCGCAGGCCAAGTTCATGAACCGGAAGGTGCTCATGGAGGAGCTCTATCAGCGTCTGCGGGCGGGCGAGGCGGCGCCGGCGGGCCGGGAGCGCGACCCCTTCTGGGAGCCGCCCGAGGCCGTGCACCTGGGCCGCGCGCACGTGTGGCTCGAGGCGCTGGCGCACCGTGCGCCACTGCGGCAGCGCGCGGCCCTGCGCGACCACCAGGGCCTGCGGCAAGCGCGCCTGCTGCTCGCCCTGCGCCCCTGTGGCGCCCGCGGCAGGTAGCCCCGGCAGCGCCGCCCCGCACGCTGCTGTTCCCTCGTCCTGGTCTTCCTAAAGGAATTCAGGGGGCTCGCTGTGGAAACACCTGCTTGGCCACAAAGGCTGGAAGTGCTGCACAACCTGTGGAAAGGGGGGATTTTTAGGGGTCTTGCGGGTGTAGCTGGGAGCAGTTGCAGCATCCCTAGGTGAGACTCATGTGTTCTACCTATGCTGCAGAGCCCCAAGAACGGTATGTATATTTTCTTTAGCTCAAGGGGCAGCTCTGGCAAACATCCCTTCACTTTCCTTACCTCGAGATGGAGTTGGCACCTCATGCAGGAGCAAAGGGCCACGGTGGGAGGTCATCCTGCTGAGGTTTCCAGAGTGGTGTTGGGGGTACCAGCAGTTCCACTCCTGTTGCTTGGTCCCTTTCTTCATAACTGGACATCTTTACATTACAGGAAGTTTGTTTTAGTTGCAGTCAACACAGAAGCTCATTAATTTGAGGGATAAAAGAGCTCATTAATTTGAGGGATAAAATAGTTATATAATAAAATAGATTTGGTTTAGTCCTTCTCTGTTTTGGAGGATTTTTGCCCTTCTATTCTATTCTTTTTTTTTTTTTTTTGACTCAATTTTTCTTTATTTTTTGTCCTTTTCTATGAACATCTTTCTGTCATCCCCTTGCATCTTGTTTTTCTCTCTGAAGGACTGCTCTTGTCACTACAGTAACACCTGATAATGAAGGTTACCAGACTCCAGGCTTCTGTCCTAATTTTGCTCTCTTGGAGCTCTGCAGGAAAAAAGTGAGAGAGAAAAAAAAAAAAAAAAAAAAAAAGGTCAACCAGCTTTATAAAACATATGTTTTATTTGCCAATAGTTATTAATTATCAAGATGTGTATGTCAAGTAAAATAAGCTCTCCTGTCTGGCCTCTGTATCCTGCTCATCTGTGTTGTTGCCCTGCTTCGGTTTTGGCTGTGGACCGGGATCAGATGCCTTTTGCTGTTCTTCCTGCATCCATAGGCTCTTTGGGGAAGACGACATGGTCATGGATCCCCTGGAGCTGCTGGGAAGAAGGGTTGACTTCCAGGTTCACATGGTGGAGTGCCGTGGGGTCAAATGGCTGCGAGAGGCTGCGGGCAGAGGCATTCAGATCGGGTACGCACTGCTGGAGCTCCCCTCGCCCCAGGACGTGCCCAGTTTGGCTTCTGGTGGAACTGGCAGCACTTTTAGCATTGCCACCACACACACTTCCACATCTGTGGAAGCCAAAAGCTGTCTATAGCAGTAGTTGTGTCGCTTGTGGCTTTAAACTATTTAAAGTGTGAATTTAACTTTGAATCCTTGACACTAAAGGAGAGATGCAGTGTCCTCCCACAGGTATTCCTGCAAGTTATATTATAATTATATATTTTAAAGGTGTTTGTGCAAGTGAATTTTTGACAGTATGTCAGATTGTTGCCAATGGAAGAACATGGGAAACGAATAAAGCACAGTAATCTTTTCACATATGTATGTGATGTGAGAGTGCAGAATGCATTTGATTGAGCAGGAAAGAACAGCTGACTTTACGTGGTTGTATTTGCTCATCTTGTGTCTGTTTAAATAGCACTTTCAGAAAGTGGATGTTTAAAAATTATTTTGTAAAATTAATTATTTTTATGCTTATATTTTATCTCTCTAGGTATAGAGTTTATGATCTTCCACGGTGCTTATACACAAAGCCTGTCTGGAAGAATGTGAATCCAAAGATAGACGAAACAGTCCAGTTCTCAGCACTGAAGGCATCCTATGAATTTCTGAATTATTTACAGAAAAATGCTTTAATTATTGATTTGTGGGGGCTTCAAGGTATTCCTTCCCATGATCTTCATTTTGTATTTCATGGTCCTCATCAATGATGGGTTGTAGATAGAATCAAATCACGCCACTGCATCGTTCCAGATACAAAACTCATTGCCTGTGTGTAGAACTATGAGCAGCCCAGTTGCTCAAGCTGTTCAGCACAAAAATAATTCATTTGATGAAAAGTTCACTAGCAGCTGCTGGGTGTAATGTATAAATGAAGATGTCCTAAACCTCACAGAGCTGCACATGCTACAAGCAGGCTCTGACGAGCAAGTTTGCTTCTGCGTTTGGGCAGATGTAGTGAGGAAAGGGCCTGGGTGGCACTTTTTCCACCCCAACCCCACAGCATTCTGCTCAGCCCCAGCTGTGAGGAGCTGTGGGGTGCCCCATGGCACTGCTGGGGGGCAGCAGCTCAGCCCTGGCCACCCTCTTTCCCACTCCTCCACCTCCTGTCGTTGTGTGAGGAGTGACCGCGAGGGCTGCCTGGGTCTCTGTGGAGCTCGGGAGGGAGCAGGGCTCCTGCTTCTGTGGGGCCTGCTCTGCCAACGCAGCAAGTTGCCAGGGCTCAGCGAGCAATGCTGCGGGGCCTACTCATGGAAGCTGAGCCCAGTGGCCTGGGGTAGACATGTAAACACCTCTGTGTGGCAGGACTTCTGGGAGCTGCTCAGAAAATCCCTTTATTTTTCCAGCTCTTGGTGTGGGTGTAATATATGGAAGAAAAATGTGTTTATTGGTCACACTGCAATTTGCCAAAAACAAGCAAACAGACAACCCCACTGTTTCTGATGGTCAGCTTTATGTGCAGTAGCGAAGTAGGAGGAAATCAGCAGGTGTTTGACAGTCAGGCTGGTTCAGAACGTGTCATGACCACTGAAGAAGTGGCACTGATGAATAAAATAGGAGCTTCTTTTCAGGATAGACCTTAGTCACAGGGGGCTAGAAGAGCGGTGGGGGCACATCTAAAATCCCTTATAATATTCTCCAAGTTAATTTGCTAAATTCTGTTACATTTAACTGCTGTGACTGTTTTAGGGAAATAATATAGCAGGCGTCCACAATGGGATTGCACAGATACTGCCTCTGGTCGAAGCTTCAAGGGCCCGGCCATTTCTGTGGTAGGAGTTTGGGGAGGAGGCGTTTCCTTCCATTCTAGATGCCGAGTGCAGCGTGGGCACCAGCAGCCAAGAGAAGGGGGGCTGGTTCCTAACAGCATCTCCATGTCTTTGCAGAAGGCTGCGTGGAGATGGGCTGCTCCTTCGAGGGGCTGCCGCTCACACCCGAGGGCGCCGTCCTGCTCGACAGCCCCAACGCTTTGACTGCGGGTGACGCTGGCCCGGTGAGCGCCCTTCCTTACATTATCAGTGTGGTTGATGCTGTGAGAAGACACCTGGGAGGATGGTCCGGGCAGAGGCAGGAGGAGGGACTGGCCACGCGCAGGCCGCGCGCAGCAGGGTCAGGGCGAGCGGGAGCGACCCGTGCAGAGCGGCCTGGGCGCCGCTGCCGGGCACGCGCCCCGGGGCCTCTCCTTGGCCTTGCCGGCTTATGTGCTTACAACAGAAATTAATGGTGTGTGAGATTAAAGCAAGTAAACAGTAACGGTTCTGTATGTGTATATGCGCAAGCCCATGCACATACTTACATACATGCACAGAGTTAACTGGGGATTTTTTTTCGGACCCTTTTGCTAAAGTAGTATTGTGGCAACAGGCCAGCAAACACTGGTAGCTGGACGTTGGAAGGAGGAAGGGTCACAAAAGTGTTTTCAGAATTCCAATAATGTGGAATCCACTCTTAGCTATAGCTTAACGGATAAGAAACATCTATTCACAATTGTTTTAGATGCACAGAAAACAGGATTTATGGACAATAATCTGGAGTTTTTTGAAATAGGACCCAAGCAGCCCCATGTCCAAATTGTACCAGAAGCTGCTGCGCGTGGAAGAAGAGACTGAGCAGCTGAGAGAAGTAAACAGAGCTTTAAGGGATGAAAATTTGCTTCTTAAGGACAAGCTGAAGTGGGACACAAGCCACTGTGAAAGTCAGTGCCCGCCACAACATGTCTCCGTGTTTGCAAGTTTTTGCTATAGTTATGTCTCACCAGTACTGCCTCAGGATGCAGGCTGTGCTGGCCTCCATCCTATCCTTTCGATTATCACGTTATATTATTAATAGTGACCTCTTGCATTTTAGAGACAGAATCAGAGTCTCCTACCAAGGCAATTGAAGTGACTGAAGAGACTCTGTCGTTCAGGGAGGCTGAAGGCAGGCGCAGTCCTCGCACCAGCTGGGATGCAGAATTTGCTAAAGCCCTTAAGATCTTCTACCAAAACATGAGCGTAGTGAGAGAGCAGTTCCTTGAGCTGAAGCACCTCAGGCCACCGGTAAGTCAGCCTTCCACACTGCTTCAGTTCATTTCAGTTGCCACAGGAGCCCCCTTCCTGACTCCAAGGAGTTTTGTGCTAGCCTTAGGAATCTGCAAAAGGGAGGTATCAATCACTGATCGTGTGTCTTCCCACCATTTCAGTCCCAGCATGAGACTCCCTCTTTCCATGCATTTTGTGCAGCCCTGGAGGCACAAAGACCTAGAGACTCTGTAGACTGCTATGCCAGCTATAACATGAAAGAAATTCAGCATTCTCTGTTCAAAAAGGCAAGCTGTCCTACAGGAGTGGCTACCTATGGGAAAGGAATCCTTTTCCAGTCCTCATGTAAGGCAGGGCATTTAGCTGAGTCGCTATACAGTACTTCTAGGAAGCTGACTCACTTCCCTACTAGGAAGGGAAGCTTCCCCACATCCCTATGTTTGCTTTACAGAATGGGTCTTTCTTTTATTTTTTTTGTCAGATCATGAAATACCAAATACAAATCTTCTGTAAGTAAGAAATTAAACTTTAGGGGAAAAAAAAAAAAACCCACACACACAAAACAACCCGCAAGTTGCCTTCCTCAGCAGCATGACACAACACAACTTTTAGACCGTCACTAGCTCCACAGTCAGTAAAGTCTGTTTGAATGCTTGAAAAGGGAGCATTTTTTTTTTCTGAAGCTTCTTAGCAGGGGACTTCCTGACATTTCTAGGCTTATATGGAATGATTGTTCTCAAAACTATTCTTGTTACTGCTGAACAGCCCAAACCCTGAATTTCTTGCCAGCAACACTGAAAAGGGCAGTTTTCTTTCTGTACATAACCAGATCTGAAGGTCCTCTCAGCTGGTTTTGCTTCCCCTTAACCTTTAATACCTGTTTGATTAAGTTAGTCAGTTTCCACTATTGTAAGCTTTTTCTGCTAATGTGAAATAAAATACATCTTGTGGCAAAACTGGTTAGCAAAGATGTAAACTGTGTAAACTTCTATTTGCTTGGCCTCTGATTGGCATGTCAGGACGGATAGCTATAGGGACAATCCAAACCCAGCAGTCATTTAAAACATCCTGCAGGTGAGATCTGCAACCAAAAAAGAGGCCTTAGAGACTTTGTTTCTCAAGCAGTAGCTATGATGGCCCCCAGGGCTTCAGAGGGTCATGGACAGACAGAGCAGAATAAGCTGAATTTGAGTCCAGCGACCCTTTCAGGCCTGACTGCATTCAGGAGTCAGATCCATGTATTATTTGTCCTGTTTTCAGGTAAGTTAGATCACCGTTAGTGATTTTGCTTACTCCGGCCTAATCAGAGCCTACACTATTAATACTAACGGATGTGGTGATGCAGATTGGAACTGATTTTCTGGATAAGCAGGTGCAGAGAGATTGGTGATCTTTTCAAAGGCAACAGCCTGCTGTCAGGCACAAGGGTTGTGCTGAGCAGACAGCAAAAATAACTTGCCCCAGGGCCTCTGCAGTCACTTGTGCAGCCAACGCACTGTAGCCAACCTGTGGCTCTCCAGCCTCGTACAGCTTGTGTCCTGCTAATTTGTACAGGTGTTTCTTCAGGAGAGCAAGTGGTGCAAGTGACTGGGCCAGGGCAGAAGGCAGTTCTCTGCTTTCCAAGCCCATCATTCTGGCTGTGACGTGCTGCTGAGCCTCCTTGGCAAGAGAACATGCTACGATGGTCCTTATTTTAGTTTACAAGGTTATGGCTGCTTCTGGCAGTTGCCTTGTCTTTTACTCAGTTGCCACCTTGGCTAACTCGCAAGGCAAGCAAGTAGTCCTTGGTGTAACAAAACAAAAATGCCATCTTGGTCCCAACTCTTTCTTTTATTATGTTTTAGCAGGAAGATAATCTGCAGGTACTACGTCTCTTTACAGACAGACAGTCACAGCTGATAAATGATTTTGGGGAGCAACTTGAGTCTACCATCTGCAAGCTCAAAAGTGATGTTGCTGTTATAGTTAAGAAGAAGCGGGAACACGCAGCATATAGCAAAGCTCAAGGGGCCACCGAGTACAAGTGAGTTGTGTGGTTAAATTCTGTAATGAACAAGTATATACATCACAGCTAAAGCAAATGGTTTACCCACTCCCTCAGCATGTTTGTTTACCATTCTTCAGTCCTCTACAAATGACTATGTGTATCTGATTTGGGATAAGATTAAAAAATGAATTTATATTATTTCTGAACTGCCTACTCTGTAAAATGTTCTGATTCTATCAAGTTGCAAGGATAAGTTATCAGAACTGTCCTGATAATACAGATATGTATGTATGTGTGATAATATCTATTGAAAAAGAAACGCTCCTGTTAGGCAAGTTATTGTTTAACCACATCACAAAGGGCCAGGTATAGACTTATAAGAGAAATTTAATATTTACAAACAAAGGCAGGGCTTGTTTCAGCACAGCTCAGACCACCGAACAGGTCGTTCACTTCTTACAGTCCCTACTTTGGCAAGTCTGCTACGGGAAAGAGCTACACTGCAACTGTGATTTCCTTAAGGTGCTTTGCCCACTGCGTGTGTGCTGCTAGAACGGTGTGTTCCCTTGACAGGATGAAACTGCACCGGGTCTTCCCCTGCTCTATAGGACAGCAACAAGGTCTCAGTGACAAGCCCCAGCTTCTCTGTTTTCTCTCCCTCTCTCTGCGTACAGCTCACTCCAGGAATGCTAGCAAGGCCAAAAGCCAACAAACTGTAATACAGTAGTATAGTTAGCTGATCTTTAAAGTGAAACAAAGGCTTAGTTTTAGTTTATATGGATGCCAAAGTTTAAAATTAAGATCCCCACAGTAAGTAACAGTGCCTATCCTGAGCAGGCATGAAGAGTAACTGCTAAGGCACTTGTTATCCAGGGCTTCCTGCTTTAAGCAGTTTGGTGGAGGGGGAGGACGGCCGTGGGAAAGTGTCAAGTAGATTCTACAGTGGTAATAGTTTAAACTTATGCTGCTGTTCTGCAGCTTAAGCTGAAAGATTAAACAAAATACTGGGACTAACATCTGATCAATCACTGACTTTTTAGTAGGTTCATAAATTAAAATTCAGTATCCATAAAGGGTTTACTCACTATAGCAACTACTATTATTATTTTTAACCCTTTTTTTCTTCTGTTTCTGCCATAAACAACAGCACAGTTAAACTCATTATTTTATGATTAGGCGTTAACATCCAAATAAGCTTTCTTGGAATTAGACACAGATGTTAATTTATGCAGTTTAGGGTTTGACTTCAGACTTCAGGCTTGGTAATAACCGAAAACTCCAAACCCCGTTTGTTGAGGCGCTCGATCAGTTTTGTTTTAGAGAAAGCAGCTCCTGGAGAGTAGACACCACCTCTGTTGATGAAAGTCAAGGGAGAGAGAGATCAGTGGCATGATGATTGGGCAATTCCTTTGTGTGTGATTCTTGGGGTCTTTTTTCCCCTGCCTAGAAAAGAAAGAGCCCCTTTTTTCTTCCCCCCTCTCCCCTCCACTAGGAAAAAGCATAGGAGGAACTTGGCAAGCTGGTTGTAGTCATAGGTTCATTTTTGCCTCCAGCAAACTTGACAGAAATCTTGCCGCTGTCTGAGAAGACAGATATTAATGCAACAGTTGCTGCAAAGGTGGAACTAAAACATCTTCATCCTTTCAAAATAAAAGGACACTAAAGGAATGGAGTTTTAAATCAAGTTGTAGTCAAGTATCATGTCTTGCTTAGCAAGAACAGTGTTTACTAGCGCTTGCACAGAGGCGAGGTAAACAGAAATCCCCACACTATATTTTCAAAAAGAAATGTGTGCATGGAAAAGTTAGATCATGGTGTTCTGAAGAGGAAAATACTTACTGTGCAGGCAGACAAGCTGCTTCTTCCAGCAGAGCCACACCTGCTTGCACCATTGCAATTGGTGTAGCAATATAGCCAGGCTCTGACAAAAGAAGAGATTTGTACATGGTGTTGAAATGCAGAATTCATAATTTTGATCTTGCTCTTACCGACTGCATGCTGAAGAATCTCTTGGGTAATCACACAGCCCACCCCCTCTGGGAAAAGTAATTCCACCTGGTACTTATCCCCATTAGCTTTGGGAGTCCTGGACAAATGCCCATTTCAAATATAGACCTATGACCACAATCCCTTCATGGTGTCAGAGACCTCTCCTTTACATTCTGTGCTTGAGTTCTTGGATGCAAGACTGCTGCATTCAGGTACACTTAAGATATTTAAAGTAGCTACACTTCATTAACTCCTTTCTGAACCCCCCTTCTTGCTTTGTCTCCAAACCTTCAGCTGACCTCTCTAAAGAATGATCTGAACACAAGTGAAATGAAACATAGGTAATAAGCCCAGGTTGTAGTAACCACAAGCTACACTTAAGACACTCTCCCTTTGCTACTCTATTTTGGAAGAAAATTGTTTTGTGACAAGAGGCAGAAGGGAAGAGAATGACCAGAACACACTGGTTAACTACTTCAACCAAGTCTCAGTCCATGCTCCTATGTAAGGCAATACTCTCTAGAGGCTGCTGACTTTGTGTGTGTTGCAAGCGCAGGGAGAAGGGAAGGGCCCTGGAAGCAACGCTAAGCTCTATCAGAAGGGGGAGGGAAAGGGAACGTGATGCAGCAGCTGCTGCTAACACTCACCTGGCCCTTTCACTTGGGTGCAGATCTTCACATTGGGTTTGCCCTTCTGGGGGTCTTGCCCCTCACTGTAGCCCTCACCAAAAAAGGTCATTGTGAAGGAAGTTTCATCCATCTGCAGTAGACAAGAGGTGCAGTCACCAAAACTCACTTCTGAGCTCGCTTCAATCACACAGGCGGAAGTAATGAATATAAATGCTAAGTAATATGACATATCTAAAAGGGAGATTAACAAGTCCAAGTCTCTGCCAGAAAGGTGCAGTCTGATTTAAATTATTTGGATATACTGTTCACATTCATGTTGCTGTAGGTGTTATTGTTCTGAAGTCCATCTGTCTTCTCAGTACTTTCCATGTTATTTTTTTGTACCTCAGTCTCCTTTTGCCATCACCTCTGCCATTTTGAGCACTCTGAGCTATCCAAGTAAATAAGAAAGGCCCGGCTCTCTGATCCATTTTTGTTACATAATTTTCATATACTTTGATATTTAATGACATCTTTATTTAAATATACAAAACTATATGGAAAGGCAGACACAATGTGTATTTAGAAACTTTTCTGGGGTGGAGTGGGGGACTGTGTGGTGGATTCCAGGTTACTATTCCACCATTAGCGTATCTTACTTAAACAAATTTCTTCATTAACTGATCCAGGACAGACAGTTACCTGTTTCTGGGTTGGTCCTTTCTTTGTGAAGCGGCCAGCAGAGAAAAATTCTGGGTACTATATAATAGGAAGCAAAAAGATTAATGATAAACTACAGGAAAAAAAATATCTCCAACCACTTAGGTCTTTTGCGTTCTAAACACTTACTTTTATCAGAAGTTTTCTTCCAAGACTAAATTTCACAAGAAGAAGAAATAAAAGGCCAGCAAACATCAGCTTCATAACAGAGCCCAGACCACCTACGTTTGCATAAGCAGCATACTGCACCTATGGCAAAACCATATTTTCAATACACATCACATGAAAATTATGCTGATTCACTTCTAAAAATAAATCCATCCCAAAACTAGGCTGCTTTTTTTTTCATGCAATACACAGCTATTTGAAAGCATCTTAAATATATATCTTTGTTCCAAACAACTCTCTGAATAACGTTTCACCTCTGTAAGTCAGAGCGAGAACACAATTACAGAACAAAGTCTGCAAATGTTTCTTACTAAATAGCCTCAAATATATTTTTAGAGTAGCCTGCCATCTCTATCTTATGGGTGCCAGTGATTCTGCACAGCTGTGCTAGATGCCTCTGGTGTTGGTTTCCACTCAGGAAAAAAAAAAATAAATAAAACCCCAACCTCCAGTCTTCCACCAGCAGTGACGTTCCACTCTTCATGTTGGTGGTACTCTACATGCCAGAGACCCAAGGATCACAGAATCCAGATACAAGTGAACAGCACATGAGCTCCCTCCCACACTGTTTACTGTGCTATACTGGCCTGACCTTCTGTTCGTCAGTGCACTGCACTTATGAGGCCCTTAAAAGCTCCACAGACATCACAAAAGCCTCTGTACAGCTACAGAATTAAGTGTCTTCCTTCACTAAGGCTTTTTTAAGTATACACAATATAGAATACATGCATGGATACTTTTACTGCATATCCACTTATAATAGTGCAGAACATAACTCACTTTTACTTCAGTCATGCAGTTACCTGTGGCACAGAGCAACCACCTAGATGTCCGATGGAATTGTTTTCATTAGCTCATGAATGCTACTGCATATGCAAGAACTGCAGAAATTATCTGCAGTTTTCCAGGGTTCAGTGGTATAAAAATGCTTGATGTGTACCTCACAGGTTCTTCTGAGCCCACCAAATACAGATACCAGCACTGTTCTTGAACATTGGGACAGGAAAAGAAAGGCTTCAAATTTTGTTTCCTGTTGGGACTACTGCCAGCAGAAGTGACATGCTAGTTTAGCTGTTTATCAGTGAAATGCAATTCAAGCTGTCCATGGTAAAAAATGAACACAGAGCTAAAGAAAGCTGAACATACAAGTGGTCCCTGCAGACACTCGACAACTCAGCAGATCTAGGTCTACTCACTCCTGAACATATCCTTCAAAAAGCCTGAGTGCAAAAATCCTCCTTCTCTAACCTGCACAGAAGGCACGTCAAGCACTAGAATAAACCTTGCAGAGCACACAGCATGGGTCATACACAGATTGCATTTTGAATTGTGTTCAGGAGCCAGCAGTGACACAGCATGATAAAGGTGCCTCATTTGCCACAGCCCTCTGTTGTGCATGCCTTACTGCAAGCCATGGACCTGCTTAAGCAAGTTAGTCCAGAGATGATAAATGACATGCCTGACTTTAGAGGCTACCCCAGGCAAACGTTATGGCAGAAGAATGCTCTGAGCATTCAGATTTTGTGGCTCTGTGTAACACTCATTCCCTAAAATTCTGAAGCCGTTCACATTTCTATGCGGAGGCTTCCATCTCCTACAAGTGCCTACTCAGAAATTAAAATGCATGAGAACCCTACAAGAAGAGCAGACTCTTGGAACCATCAAGGAACCACCAGCAAATTCATCAGGGAGCAGTAAATCAGGCACACTCAAACCAACCAGAGCATCCAAAAGAACCTGGACTGCATCAGGTCAAGCAGCTTTCAAGGGCAATCAACTGAGACTCCTTCATAACAGAAGCAAATGCATTTTGTTAGGTTTTACTTAACGATGCAACCCTGCTACACAGATCCTGCGCAAGGAACTGTTAATACATAAAGGAAGGATGCCCTGAAAATGATCAGGAAGACACAGTATACTAAGAATAGCAACTTACTGGTGTTTCTTGCAGCTGTGTGTGCAAGTAACGCTGAGAGCGCTTCACTACTGAAACATCAGATCCCATGAATGGAATGGAGTACTCTCTGAATTCCTGACTGTAAAACACAAGGCCTCTGCAAACAGAATATACATAAATAAAGAAACAAAAAACACTGTTTAAATGTTCATGCAACAGAAAAAGCCATTCATAATGAGACTATCAGTGCTGGCTTTCACTCACGCACTTTAAGGACATTATCTATTCTCACTGAGCAATACAGTGATTCCAATTTACTCCTCACTCAACTCCAAGTTTATATGCTACATCCAGGATTAATCTGATAAGCAAAATAACATCTTCCTCATGTGGGTTCTTCCATTCTGCTACCCAATTCAAACTCAAAAAACCTGCCACATCTCCAAAAGGCCAAGGAACAACATCTCCAAAAGGACAAGCAGCTTTCAGAGATACTAAATACTAACGTGTTATTGTTCAATAAAATATAAACAAATGAGTAAACTCAAAACATATCTTCAATTCTATTACAGAAGTAAATATGTGTGCATGTTTTGCTGAAGTGTTAAATGCATCTTTTTAGCATTAGTAATATGTATCATTGTATATAGAGAGTATATATATAAAAATAAATCCTAGATTGTTAGAAACACAGATATATTTGATGTCTTAAGATTCTTATACCTTCTTTTAAGTTTTGCACCAATGACTGGAACTGGGGTATATCCTATCTGTTTTCGAAGCTTCTTCAGATTGTCTTGATCTGAAAGGCCGTAAATAGCCGACTTCCAGGTCCCATCATGTATGCAGGCGCCCTGGTGACAGAGCAGGAAACAGTGAGTAACGGAAGTAATTCAGTATCTAAAGGTTTGAGATGCTATTTCAGTAGTGGCCTGGCCCAAGGAATTACTACCCCTGTGACAATTTCCTACACTATAATTGTATGCATTATCAACTGTATACAAAGAAAAAAGGAAAAACAAGCCAGCAAAAAAAAAAAAACAAAACCAAAAAGAAAAAAACAGACAAAAACAAACCAGCCAAACACTGGGATTACAGACGATACTTCGTACCTCTGCTACAACTTATGGGTACACGGATCCTTCACACATCTCAGCAATATATTGTAAAGACCCTTACAAACAGGTGGTTGCTTGGGATATTTATATATATAAACATTCATAATTTATATAAAAATATATATATATAAAAGTAAAAAAAAAAAAAGTTCTTAGACTTATTGAATAGCTGCCAGTTTGTTTTGTTGCTTGATCTGAATTAACATAACAACAGTTCTTCAAAGGGGCTACGCATGTGTTATCACAAATATTCCTGGGTTTCTAAGACAGCATAAAGCAACCAACCTCAGGTCCAGATTTCACTGTCAAAAAACTTTCCACGGCTGTTAAGGTACCTTTAACAGAAGAGAAAATATGATAGTTGCTGACATACAGTCTGGGAGCTCACACAGCCAGAGTACACTCTGACAGACTCATCTGTCACAGCACTGACATCGCTAGTAGAAGAGGCAGAATCAAATCATTATCTTCAAGTAAAATAAACTAAGATTAAGTTCCACAGCTATTTTAGTCATTAGATTTCATAAGCAAAGTACTTCAATAGGGGTCATTATCTTTGTTCATTAAATGTTGTATTTTTTTAATCTAGTTAATGAGATAATGTAAATCACCAATGAAAAGAAAGAAAAGAATATCAAGAGTCATGTTTCTTTTTGCCAAGTTTTGAAATAAAAGATGATGTAGGAATTGTACAGGTGTGAAAATGTCGATGAACTTATATAGAGTTTGGCAGACCTCACTATAAAAAAAAAAAAAAAATCAAAATATCTCCAAAATTTTCATTTTAACATAGCTTATCCTTTTTGCAAAGGATGCTCAGCTGATGCAGAGCCAAACAGAACTCCTCCAAATTCTGCCTTGTTTTGCTTTGCTTGGTTCCTTCTGAGACTAAAAAAAATGTTCCTGTAAGAGCAAATTTAAATGTAAGAACAAACTGGACAGAAGGGTGATAACAGAAAGTGAAGATACTAGGAAGTCAAGAAAGAAAGAGGTAAGAGGGATCTTTACTCGAAAGACATATCAGACATAACCCACAGAAAATCATATATTCATTTCCTTGCCACTCCTCTTTCTCCTTTTCCAATAGTTCTTAAAAAACTGAGAATAGATACACTCTGATGCAAATCAATCCTACTCAATGGCAATTTTATTAGTACATATATGCAAAGTCATATGTGTGGATACTCTTACTAATCCTTCCAATGGAAAGGAAAAGAGAGGGGCATTTGGTGGGATCTAGACTCTTGAGTATGCTTCTACAGAACAAACTATCTGAGCAAAGTTTGGAAAAAGGATCAAGTGCCATCTTCATAGAATTCAGTTATATCACATCTATTTTGAAATATATTTATCCTTTCACTTGCTGTCCAGCCACTGTTGAGAAGAAAAAGGAATTACACAGCACTGTCCATCTACAAATGCTTCTGCACCGCCTTCTTAGTGCAGGCTGTACAAGCAGACAACCGGGGAACCCCGATTACCCGCTAGATCGCATTCCCTTTCCCGCAGGCTTCCCGTCTCCACCACATCTTCCTTACAGGTCTCTCCCCGCACAGGAGGCAGCGTGCCAGGGCTCGATTCCTGCACTCCTGCTCTGTCCTTTCAGTGCGTGGCATTGCTTTGAATTCCTCCCCTACCTAATCATCACTTTCCTCAAATCCAAGAGCAATGCTTTTCCATTCTCACGAGTCAGATCTGCTTAGTTGGTAAAGGGAGCCAGAGCGATAGACAGAAAGAGTTCTGGGCTTTACTGCTTTAGAAAACCAGATGAAAAACAATCCATGGTTCTTTTTCAACATAAGACCACGCTTAAATAAGTCACCTTTCAACTTGTCTCTGGTGAACAGTACTCCCATATCTGCTGGTATAGAGTCAAAGCCACAACTTCCAATGATGTAGACTCCCTTCTCTGCAGCCTTTTCGTTGTATTTCAGGTACATTCCTTCCAGAAACTAAAACATAAACAGAGCATATATTTTAATACTCAATATTATCCATCAGCACTTTATCACAGTACTCTGCGTACTTCAAACAAAGATCCTTAAGGCAGAAACACATTAGTCCTACTTTATGGTATGGAAATGCACACAGTGCCAAAAATTGTGATCTCTACAAACTCCTACATGAATCACAACCGAGGCTGACTGTACAGTTCTTAAGTGCTTGATTTCTAGAAGGTTTTTGCGTAGTTCTCGTCTTATAGTAATAAAACTACGCAAATAATACATATTACAAATAATACATATTAAAATTAATGTAACAATTGCAAATCAGAAGACAATGTATCTTCATCTTCAAAAATATCATCATCAGAACCATACTGAACAAACACTCCTTTACTAGCTGCTGAGCCCAAGGTAGGATTTTTCTGCTGTCACATACCTGAGGTTCTCCACTGATGTCAATGCAGCTTGCACCATTTTCAACACAAGCTTTTACCACAGGTTCTCCAAAAAATCTGTACTATAGAGGGGAAAAAGCACACACACGTAACAAAACCAAGACAAACCCACACGCAATCCATCTGTTTTTATCTAACATACCTACAACAACAGTGAACATTTGAGAGCTACAGCCCTCTAAATGGGGCAGATATAACAGTATTTCTCTTTTCTGAGGAGCAGGAGAGGGAGGAGGAGGAGCAGTGTAAGGTTCTTCATCACTAGTAACCCCATTTAGTGTATGAAATAGCCACGTTTTTCCCTGCATGACCGCCCAGGACAATTAGCTACCCCTTACCTTGATGCTCGGGTCTTGCATTAAGCAAGAGCCTCCTCCACAGCCCCTGTTTAACCACTCTCAGCCCAGTGCAGGAGGCAGAGCAGGTACCGTGACGTGGCTACAGCTCTTGTACTTCGCCCCTCTCTCCATGAGCAGCAAATTTGGCCACCCAAGAAGTTTTAAGGGGGCCACGAACTTAAAGCAGCCAGTCTATGCGCGGCTCTATTGTCACCCTGACTTCAAACAAAACCACTTGGCCCAAAACACACGTGGTTCCAACTCAAAGAACGAGAACAGAGGATGCTGCAGGAAAGTCTCGTGCGATCCCAGCACGCGTTCGCGGCCCGGCTTGGCCGTGAGAAGCGAATAAACAACCGCGCTGGTGAGGTGAGCGGGCTCCCCCGCCGCCGCCACTCACCGGGCCCACGCAGTTGAGCACCAGCCGCGTCTGCTTCGCCATGGCGGCCAGCGAGCCCTCGTCGCCCACGTCGCAGAGCAGCACGCCCACCTCGGCGCCCGGCGCCGCCTTCCCTGCGCAGGGGACACGGCCGTCAC